TGAAGTAATTGTATTTTAAAGCACAGTTATTTTTTGTGTCACAAGCTGAAATCTTGCCTGCTGCAGACTACAGGTGATGCTACCATGGATTCAAAATGGTATTTCCCCAAGAGATCTAAGTCTCCACAGCAGGAGACCCTTAGCAGTGTAACTCCAGTTCAGTTTATTGCTCAGGTGAACATCCACATAGTTAGAAGGGTCCATCAAGATAATTTCCACAGGCGTTGGTGTACTCATGCCTCCTCAGGTGCAAATCCACCTCAAGCCCCCACTGGACATGTCCTTTGTCCACTGTCTGTAGACTGAGTTATCAAGTGATACATGAACTATGACAGAGTTGTTGGAGAATTTCTGAAAATGACAGTCTGGAAAATGGATGGTTTGTAATGTAAATTGATGGAGTTTCTAATTCACTTTCTAATGTAGAAAGTGAACTTGAACAATGCCACAGATCAGTCTTTCTTAAAAACAGCCCTGTGTCCTCACATACTCGTCCAGTATCTACTGGGAGAGCTGAATGCACACTCCTGAGAGCTCCAGATTGTCCCTCAGAAGTCCCAGCTGGAAATGACAAAGCTTGGTGCAGGTGTATCATCCACCCCAATGCTTACCAGGGGGGCAAAGATGGTTAAGGATCATCCTTTAAAGCAGAGGTATTCAACACTGGGGATGCAGAGTTATTGCAGACACTAATGATTAATGACTGAGGCCTGAGAGGCTTGAAGTATTGGAGAGACAGGCAGATAGTTAGTCACAATTAGAAAGGTACTACTGCTACTGAAGGGCTGAGTGCCTGATCAAACCTGCTCTGCTTGCTGTTTGTCTTTTAATGAGAAAATGTTTGCAATTTTTTCCAAACCCCACTGATGTTATTTAGCTGCAACTTGCAAGACTGATCAGTTAGAGAAGAAAACACAAGTGTATGAGTACTTTAAATATGAACATAGAAAAAATTACAGATGATGATGCACAAGTAGAGCACATCAGCACAACAGACATGAGGAATTAGGAGCATAGATACTAAGGTAGATGTGGAATGACAAAAAAGTCAGATCCGGTATACTCAGAGCAGTTTTAGAACAGATTAGACAGAAGGAATGCATGACAGGTGAGGGCTGATTACTAATTAACAACAATGGCAATTAACTGACACAAAGAAGCCATTAAATAAGGGGAAAAGATAAATGATCACCTAAGGGGATAAACTAAATAGAACACAACAAGAAAGTGACAACCAAAAACTAAGGAATGAACTAGTAAGGAAGGGCCTCACAGAGCATAGATACAGGTGCTGGTCATAAAATTAGAATATCATGAAAAAGTAGATTGATTTCAGTAATTCCATTTAAAAAGTGAAACTTGTATATTATATTCATACATTACATACAAACTCATATATTTCAGATGTTTATTTTGTTTAATTTTGATGATTACAAATGACAACAAATGAAAATCTCAAATTCATCATATCAGAAAATTAGAATATTGTGAAAAGGTTCAAAATGGATGGCCCCTGGTGCCACACTCTAATCAGCTAATTAACTCAAACCACCTGCAAAAGCCTTTAAATGGTCTTTCAGTCTAGTTCTATAGGCTACACAATCATGGGGAAGACTGCTGACTTGACAGTTGTCCAAAAGACGACCATCGACACCTTGCACAAGGAGGGCAAGACACAAAAGGTCATCGCTAAAGAGGCTGGCTGTTCACAGAGCTCAGTGTCCAAGCACATTAATAGAGAGGCGAAGGGAAGGAAAATATGTGGTCGAAAAAAGTGTACAAGCAAGAGAGATAACCACACCCTGGAGAGGATTGTGAAACAAAACCCATTCAAAAATGTGGGGGAGATTCACAAAGAGTGGACTGCAGCTGGAGTGAGTGCTTCAAGAACCACCACACACAGACGTATGAAAGACATGGGTTTCTGCTGTCACATTCCTTGTGTCAAGCCACTCTTGAACCACAGACAGCGTCAGAAGCGTCTTGCCTGGGCTAAAGAGAAACAGGACTGGACTGCTGGTGAGTGGTCCAAAGTCATGTTCTCTGATGAAAGTAAATTTTGCATTTCCTTTGGAAATCAACAGGCGCGCTGGAAGCTGTTTCAAGCGAGGGGGGCTGATGGCTGGGTTGAAAAACACATGACGTCATTATGTTGAGGGCTGTGGCTGACGTTTTTAACATAATATTGTAGGCCTACATTTGTCGCCAAAAACTGCCATTTTAAATGCATCGGAACAAAGCATGAACATTTTAAACTTCATATCTTCTCTTTTAATCATTCAAAATTGATCGTCTGCCTGGCTGTGTGTTTCCTGGACGGGGCCGCCTTTTACAGCTGCTTTTTGTGTCTCTGCTTCTGTCTTCTTGAACCCCAGTGGGCCTCAGCAGATGGCCACTCACACTGAGCCTGGTTCTGCCGGAGGTTTCTTCCTGTTAAAAGGGAGTTTTTCCTCTCCACTGTCGCTACAAGCATGCTTAGTGTGAGGGATTGCTGAAGAGTCAATGAGTCGATGCAATCAGCTGGTTTTCCTTAGATAGAAAACTTTGTATCAATTTGACTGGATGATCTGGTTGAACTGTAAAGTGCCTTGAGATGACATGTGTTGTGAATTTGGTGCTATATAAATAAACTGAATTGAATTGAAAACAAACAACAGCTTGCAATCAACAGGAACAGGAATACTTGAATGAAACATGGCCTAAATATAGCCTAAACTGAGCATTGAACATCTTGAAAGTCAATTCGACTATGGATATGGGGAATGATTTCATATCTGAAACAAAAAACACACACACAAAAAAAATAATAATTTCATATTTTATCACTTAATAGCTTAATGCAGACATAATATTTAGTGATATGCAGCCTTATTCTAGCGTATAGGGGAATTAAAACCATTTCTCACCTCGAAATAGTCAGAAATACGTTTCTGCTGCCTATTGCTAGCCATGCCTAAACGAATGTAAGGTGGCGGAAGCACTTCAGGGGGAGTAGCCTAGTTTTTTATGAAATATTAAAATAATGAATCATTAGTTTATATCTTATACACAGCCCACCATTTTAATCCCATATCAAACACAGTCTTTTAAAAAATAAATACATAAATAATTTCATGTTTTTAAGTACAATATTATGTTACCCCACAGCCCCCCACCATGGGGGGCTGATGCTATGACGAGGGAGGCTGCAGCCCCCACAGCACCCCCCTTCCCGTGCCACTGGAAATCAAGGTCCCAGAGTCTGGAGGAAAAGAAGAGAGGCACTTCATCCACGTTGCTTGAAGTCCAGTGTAAAGTTTCCACAGTCAGTGATGGTTTGGGGTGCCATGTCATCTGCTGGTGTTGGTCCATTGTGTTTTCTGAGGTCCAGGGTCAACGCAGCCACATACCAGGAAGTTTTAGAGCACTTCATGCTTCCTGCAGCTGACCAACTTTTTGGAGATGCAGATTTCATTTTCCAACAGGACTTGGCACCTGCACACAGTGCCAAAGCTACCAGTACCTGGTTGAAGGACCATGGTATCCCTGTTCTTAATTGGCCAGCAAACTCTCCTGACCTTAACCCCATAGAAAATCTATGGGGTATTGTGAAGAAGAAGATGCAATACACCAGACCCAACAATTCAGAAGAGCTAAAAGCCACTATTAGAGCAACCTGGGCTATCATAACACCTGAGCAGTGCCACAGACTGATCGACTCCATGCCACGCCGCATTGCTGCAGTAATACAGGCCAAAGGAGGCCCAACTAAATACTGAGTGCTGTACATGCTCATACTTTTCATGTTCATACTTTTCAGTTGGCCAACATTTCTATAAATCCTTTGTTTTTATTGGTCTTCAGTAATATTCTAATTTTCTGATATGATGAATTTGAGATTTTCATTTGTTGTCATTTGTAATCATCAAAATTAAACAAAATAAACATCTGAAATATATGAGTTTGTATGTAATGTATGAATATAATATACAAGTTTCACTTTTTAAATGGAATTACTGAAATCAATCTACTTTTTCATGATATTCTAATTTTATGACCAGCACCTGTATTTAACAGGAAAAGGGTTCAAATATATAAAAACACAAAAGAAAACCCAAACCATAATACAATGGGTTTTTTTTATATACTGGACGCAACAAGATGGGAAGGAGGGCAGACATGTCATAGAAGAGCAACAGAAATGTAGTTGGGGCGCAACTTAAAAAAACATTTATATTATTTTCTTTATGGCATGAGGAGCTATATCTGCCATTAAAAAAAAAACCTGTGTAGGTATAGGCAGAGGCGTAGCCAGAAAATATTTGGGTGGCCGGGCAAAAACCAGTGTACACTGAGGGGTGGACGAAAATGGATAGGCAGCAGAGCCTCAGGGTCAATCTACACTGTTCCAACAGGAAAATCAACGAGCAAAACATCCATATTTTCTAAATAAAGACTAACTATAATTTCCAACAGCCTTTACTAATATGTGCATATTTTTAAACATCCATGCTTTTTAGATAAAAGATAAAGTGGATAAAAGTCTTTTCTGGGTGAACATCTGAGTTCTGGGGTGAACATCTTTTCCATTGTCATTACCCACCTACTTGTATCAATAATCATCCTGCATAAAATTGACATTTACAAGCACTAATATCTACATAAATTGATTATTTTTATAAAAGTTGTTATTTATCTATGATTTTACTAAAGACTAGATGAATGCAGAGACACATAATTTTCTCTTTACCCCATAAAATACAAAATCTAGTTCTGAAAAGAGCAGGAATTCTGATCTTACCATCTTTAATGTTAGTATATTCATGTGCATAATTGACCGCAGTGTTTTTGTTGTCAAATACTTATGAATATATAAAAAAAGTGAGTAATATATGAACATTTTGAATTTTTCGAATATTCCACTTGATTATGGGGTGGGGTGGGGCAATGATTGGCTAAGGTTGGCCATGGCCCCCATCTAGCTCCGCCCCTGGTTATAGGCTGTGGTTTCACAATATGATGATTGTCACAGATGGTGCTCTTAGTGCAGTTCATGTGCTAAATTACAGCAAATGATAATGTGATGTTTAGTGCCCTTTGTTTTGTGGAACAATGATGCGAAATCAAACGTTCATTGAGGCAGTGCTGGTACTGAAGAGGAGCACAGCACACCTAGCTCGATTTAAAGCGGGATTTGGATTAAATAGCTTCTGAAAGCCAATGAGCCTAACCTGCGAGAGGGAGGCAAACGGGGAGGGAGCGGAGCAGTGATTTTTATTTCCAACTGGATCGAAAAGGGGAGGAGGAGGCATGGAGAAGGAGTTATTTTGGTAGCAGCGTAGAGCTTGTTTGACATCTGAAGGCTTCCGGCGCAGTAAATCTGTTTGTGCGGCACGAAGAAGAAGAAGAAGAAGAGAGCCTCGGTCAATTCCCGGCTGCAACCCTCTTCGGCTGGACATGAAAGTGCAGCAGGGCTGCAATTCATCAGAAATGGGCATCCCCGTTAGAACCGAAGAAGAGCTGCGCAAAAACACCGTTATAACACCGGAGGATGTGCTGGGGCTGCAGAAGATCACAGAGAGTGAGTAACCTGCTGTGGTGGAAGGTACCATGGACAGCGACACCTTTAAATGTATTTTAACCAGTCGGTATCAGACTCCATGAGTAGGTCAATCTTTATCATTGTGGTTATGCTATACAACTTCTCCTGCTACCAATAATAGGTGTGAATTTTTTGTTTAAAAATATTTTCTTTTTAGTTTACCAACGTTTCACCTGCTAAACTGAACTCCAGCTCACCTTAAGACACCTGCAGCACTGAGGTAACAGGTGGCATGGGATGTGATCCACTTATTAGCTGATACTTCAGGCAGCTCCCAGCTGGGAGGGAAAAACAAGTGCTGTGTCCTGCAGCTTTGCTCTTTATTATATCATGGAAAACATGCCAAGTTGGATCTTTTAGAGCCTAGATGAAAAAGGATATTTAATCAGCTGGTGGTTAGAAGTTAGTTATTTTATTTATTAATTAATTGAGCTTTATTGACCCCACATTGGACAAATTTACATCTGCATTTAATCCATCTCCTTGGAGGGCAGTGGGCTGCTATCATAGGGCTCCCGGGAGCAATCGGGGGTTAAGGGTCTTGCTCAGAGAGCCAGAGTGGCAGTCTGTGGGAGTTGGTTTCAAACTCACAACCTCGGGATTTCAAGCTCTATGCCCTAACCAGTGGGCCACCACTCTACACTATTTTGCTAGAATATGTTAAATGTTCCAAAGAGGCCTCTTTCCATTCATCCAGTTTGACAGGTTTTACACAAGGATGTGGAAAATAAGAACTATGCAACTATATTCAGTTACATGCAGTTTTGTTGGATTTGAATTATAACACACTGAGGTCAAATTCAGTTTGTAATATACAATGGTAAATTCTAAAAACTGAGGACAAGCTTCTATCCTAAATAGACATTTGGCAAGAGCGGGAAGGAATAACTGTCAGTGGAAGAAACTCAGAGGTTACTCAGAGTTTGAGAGGACTGAGTACTGTAGACAGAAAAAACAACAACAATAGGTCTGGGATCAGATATATCTTAAGATTGAGGAAGGGAATACCAGTAAAATAATAAATAAAGCTGAGCAGTTTTCCAGAAGAGGTTTGGATTTGAAATAAGCAAGTAGACTGCATGGAAATATTGGACTCCAGTATTTGTAGCTCATTACTAAATTTAGTAAACTTATAATTAAACATTAATCCCATTAATTGATCATCCTCACTAAAGCTCTGTATAGTTTTATGATAATATTACATGATCACAGAACATTTTCAATAGACACATTTTTTATGCCATATTTTCAAATTCACCAACTACTTAAGAATTCAGTTACCTTCAGAGGTTTTATTAAATTTCCTGAAAAAGAAGTGTAAATATTTTAGAAAATGATGATGTGTATTCCTCCACACTGAAAGCAGGAAGTGACTCTGATGTTGGATCCAAAATCAAACTCATGAGTGTAGAAGTTTAACTCTAAAATAATCACCTCTCTCTGCACCTTGCCACCTCTGAGTGAAGAACAAACACCAGCGTCTCATCAGGGTGATCATTCCTAAATCATTTGTGATGGTGTGGTAATCTCTGCTCTCGGCTGACATGTAATCTGGATTATGTCAGAAGAGCTGAAACAAAGCATGGTAAAATGGAGTGATGCAAACAGGTAATTATTAACTCCAGTGACAAATTATAGAAGATGGTCAAATAAAGATAATGCTTTACTTCAATTCTTGTTTAAAGATCATTGTTTGTAATTTTTATCAAAAGTTATGATTTGAATTACTTTAGGGCGCTGTTTGGGTTGTTAAATAGATTATTATTTGTCCTGTTCGGACATCATTTAATATTTTAGGCCATTTTTGACCATAATCTAATAACAAGAAAAGCTGTGCTCAGGAAAAAAGAAACACATCAAATACAGAAAACAGATATGCAGAAAGCTTAAAGTACACACCACCATCAACCCACAGCTCTATGGGAAAACAAATATACCTTCTATAGTGGAATGGCAATATATGTATATTGATAATTACTCCTTGTATGGTGGGAAATGTTAGCTAAATATTTGAGGACCATGCATTCAGACTTGTTATGACAGAAGTAAATTTGAGACTATGGATTTGATTTGGGACTAGGAAAGTTTTCCTAGAAACAATTTTTTTTCCGAAAAAACTTGGTTAAAATTAAAACAAAGATTAGTGTTAATCAGTAACTGGATCAATTGTAGATTATCTGCTATCAGTGTTTGATATGAACTATAATTTAATGAATTCATAAATTCATCACCACTAGTCCTTATTGCGAAATTCACCAATATTATCACACATAATAACTCACTGTAACGTTTCATAGTAATATACAAAATTAACTACATGTTCATATAGTAGTACAGCTCATATTTTATTTTTATTTTTTTAGCTGATTTGGTCAAAATCAAACTTGCAGAAATAAAACAAAAATTTCAAACCTTCAGTATTTTACCCTGTTTCACCACATCATGTTTCTAGCTTGATTTATTAGGTCTTTGGCATTAAAATAGGTTTGACTTTGGTGTTGCACTCATTATTTTGCTCTTATGGCTTTTTATTTGTAAATCCACATGAAAACACACACCTCCTTTTTTGTTTTCATAGCCTAATTTAACAGAGGCTATGCACTTAGAACACAGAGTTTAGAAATGCATAAAAAATGTTGACTATGGATCAAAACAAAACAGTAAGACTGTTGAATGTTAGGTCTATAGCTGAAGAGCTCTAGCTCCACTGTCTGAGGAATGTGTTACTGTGTGAATAAGGAATATAATTGTTTGTAGTGGTGACTTTGGGTTCTGTTTCTGGTTTTTATTTTAGTGATGAGGGTTCACTTCTTACATCAGTCTAATTGAACATTACTGCCTCAGGTTTGTTTATTTTTTCTTTTACAAAATGTTTCACATTTTCCTTAAGCAGCTTTGGACATATTCATTGTAGAAATCATGGTAGTTTCAGTGATGGTGAGCTGGCAAAACCCTGCTGCAGCTAAGCATTCCCAAACTACTGTACTTCCTTCTCTATGCTTTGCAGTTGGCATTATATCGTATCATTTTTTGAAATGCGGCAGTTGTTTTGTACCCAACATAGTCCCTGTTATGGTCTTATAATTAATCATAGGAGGTGTAACCTTAAAGGGACCTTCCTGGTTTTCTTAGAACCCTTGAAACCCTCATAGAAGTTAAACCAACAGCTGCAGGAGTCTGATAAGATACTTCATTTGAAGCATCAAGAATTAAATTTTTCCTTTTTTAAGAATATTGCTGTATGCTTTCTAGGTGCACTTGTTTTAAGGCCTTGATCAGGGTATGTTGGTAGCTCTTTTTATCCTCCTCTACTTGCACGCTGTTTCATACAGCAGAGAGGTTTTTTCCTTTTAACTCTTATTAGACTTATTCAAATCCCTCACCAGATTCATATGCTGCTACAATTTTCTTTCTGAATACCTTAGACAGCTGTTTGGATGTTGCTAGTGTGTTTACAGTGGATGGTATGAAAGGAGAAAATATCCAGTGAGCATCAGCTGTATGAGATGATTGAAAGGAGCCAGGAGCTCTAATAACCCCTTATTTTAACTGTCTGAATGTACATGTTGAACCTTTAGTAAAGGAGCTACAGCAGAAGAAGAAAACAACAAGTTCCAGCTCCATCAGCCAAGAACAAGGAAGTGGGACTAGAGCTCCTTTAGACAAAACACATTTTGACAATAATAGACAAAGAATGGTTTCAATTAGCTTTAATTTCAATTCAGTTTAACACGATTGGGTCAAAATCTGGCACAAATATTGTTCGATTTGTAATCATATTAATCGATTTATGTATTTAAATTTGTATTTATATCAAAAATGAGGAAAAAATAGAATGATATATTTAGATATTTGGATTAGTCTTGAAGTTTTTTTTTTTAACCAAGTACAGGTGCTGGTCATAAAATTAGAATATCATGAAAAAGTAGATTGATTTCAGTAATTCCATTTAAAAAGTGAAACTTGTATATTATATTCATACATTACATACAAACTCATATATTTCAGATGTTTATTTTGTTTAATTTTGATGATTACAAATGACAACAAATGAAAATCGCAAATTCATCATATCAGAAAATTAGAATATTACTGAAGACCAATAAAAACAAAGGATTTATAGAAATGTTGGCCAACTGAAAAGTATGAACATGAAAAGTATGAGCATGTACAGCACTCAGTATTTAGTTGGGCCTCCTTTGGCCTGTATTACTGCAGCAATGCGGCGTGGCATGGAGTCGATCAGTCTGTGGCACTGCTCAGGTGTTATGATAGCCCAGGTTGCTCTAATAGTGGCTTTTAGCTCTTCTGAATTGTTGGGTCTGGTGTATTGCATCTTCTTCTTCACAATACCCCATAGATTTTCTATGGGGTTAAGGTCAGGAGAGTTTGCTGGACAATTAAGAACAGGGATACCATGGTCCTTCAACCAGGTACTGGTAGCTTTGGCACTGTGTGCAGGTGCCAAGTCCTGTTGGAAAATGAAATCTGCATCTCCAAAAAGTTGGTCAGCTGCAGGAAGCATGAAGTGCTCTAAAACTTCCTGGTATGTGGCTGCGTTGACCCTGGACCTCAGAAAACACAATGGACCAACACCAGCAGATGACATGGCACCCCAAACCATCACTGACTGTGGAAACTTTACACTGGACTTCAAGCAACGTGGATGAAGTGCCTCTCTTCTTTTCCTCCAGACTCTGGGACCTTGATTTCCAAAGGAAATGCAAAATTTACTTTCATCAGAGAACATGACTTTGGACCACTCACCAGCAGTCCAGTCCTGTTTCTCTTTAGCCCAGGCAAGACGCTTCTGACGCTGTCTGTGGTTCAAGAGTGGCTTGACACAAGGAATGCGACAGCAGAAACCCATGTCTTTCATACGTCTGTGTGTGGTGGTTCTTGAAGCACTCACTCCAGCTGCAGTCCACTCTTTGTGAATCTCCCCCACATTTTTGAATGGGTTTTGTTTCACAATCCTC